AGAAAGAAGGAAGAGAGAAAGGAAGGAAACAATTTAACCATTCAGGAAATGGTAAGCTAACTTACAGTACACAGTTTCAACAACTGTTTATAATTAATAAAAATGAGAGGGGAAAAAAAGGTAGGAAAATGCTAATAATAAAACGAGTTTAAATGGCAACATTTAAAATTGTAAGTGAACTTGTCCCTACCTAAAGTAACAGATGCTTAAAAAGAAATATACCAAAATTGACTCAGTATATACAGAGAATTTGTGAGAGACTGTTCTCTCCACTCTGGGTCCAAATATTTGGTCCAAACCCTGATGTCACATGATTTGACTTGACTATGGCCTCTTATCCCAGATCTCTTCTCCTTCAGATTGATCACTCCTCGTCTGGCTTCTGCGAACCTCAGTTTCATTACTTCACCGAGACAATCACTATTTCCTGCTGCATTTGTCCTTTGAAATCCCACCCTTCCTCTCCATTTATGGAGCATCTTATTTCAGACTCTTGTCATTTGTCTGTTCCTTTGCTGTCAGCTGTGTCACCCACCTCATTGCCCCTCAATCTATTTTCCTGGTTCTGCAGACAGAGAGGCAGCTCTCAAATCTTATCATTTGACCTCCTAAGAGTTCTTCAAACAGGCCCTCTCACATGCAAGGTAAGATATGAGCTTACAATTCGGACAAACAAGACCTTTTCTGATCTGACCCTCAAAGTGCCTCAGCTTCTGCCACTCAGGCCACCACTCCCCTCTACCCTCACCAAGATCTCCCAGTCCAACTCATTCTCCTGCCCCTACATCTGGCCTACACAGCACTCTGGTCACACATCTGACACTGTGAACACCCACAGGGCAAGAGTTCTAGCACTCCACCTCATGACTAACATCACCCCGTGACTCCCTCACTGGACAGGAGGAAGATGCAGATTATGTTCCTCACCTTTCTATATCATTGCTATGTGTATTTCCACTGTCAGCTCCCATCTCCCCTTGCTCAGAGCTGCCCTCCCCCTGTCCTAACCTTGCTCTGTCCAGTATGCAGCCACTAGCCACATGAGGCTACCGAGCTCTTAAAACGCAGTTTGAAATGAGATGTGTTATAAGTATACAATACACACTGGATTTCAAAGACTTGGTATGAAAAACAGAATGTAAATAATATTATTATTTTATATTGATTACCTGTTGGTATAATATACATTAGATCTGCAGGATTAAATAAAATGCATTATTAAAATTAATGTCAGCTGTTTCCTTTTACTTTTTTAAATGTGATTACTAGAAAATTTTAAGTTACATTAAACTTGTAACTCAGATTATATTTCTACTGGACAGAGCTAGTCTAACCATCCTTCAGGGACCAGAATGAGTAAAACTTCCTTCAAGATGCTCTTCTGTTTGTGCCATGCATTAAGCACAAAAGATCATTAAGATCTTTTTTGACCCTTTGAAATCCTATAAAGAAGTCCACAATATAAGCCACTAAGTAATTACATACCATACTATATGCTTACTATTACATTAACTCTTCCTGCTACATCAATACCATTTCTATTTAGGGACTCATAGTAAGCACTTAATTTTTAATTAAACATGGAATCTTTGCTAGAACAAGATAGCAATATACAGATTTTGGGGGGATTTCTATTTTGTTTTGTTTACTCATTTACTCTCCCATTGATGATTTCAACAACGCAGGGAGAACTGGAAGTCAGGGGACCTGAAAGATCTTTGCTCCACCTGTAAGTAACATAATACATACAGACCATTTAGTCCATGGCTTGGCCCTTGTAACGTCTGCCTGGGACTCAGTCTCCCACTTTGTAAAATAAAGCTGGGGCACTTGAGTGGCTCAGTGGTTGAGCATCTACCTTTGGCTCCAGTTGTGATCCCAGGGTCCTAGGATCAAGTCCCACATCATGCTCCCTGTGGGGAGTCTGCTTCCCCCTCTATGTCTCTGCCTCTTTCTACCTCTCATGAATAAATAAACAAAATCTTAAAAAAAAAATGAAGTTAATAATATCAAGCCAATCTACAATACAAAGCAGGATGAAAGTAACTAAGCAAGTTCTAACTGGAGCCATTACCATGAATGAGAAATACTCTATTTTTTTTTAAGATTTTATTTATTTATTCATGAGAGACATAGAGAGAGAGAGGCAGAGACATAGGCAGAGGGAGAAGCAGGCTCCATGCAGGGAGCCCAACGTGGGACTTGATCCTGGGACCCCAGGATCACACCCCAGGCCAAAGGCAAGCACCAAACCGCTGAGTCACCCAGGGATCCTGAAATACTCTACTTTCCATGGTTCACTGTGTGTTTCTCGGCCAGTTGTCTTAAATACAGACTAATTTTTATAAAGAGAGAACAAATTAACAGGTATAAAGGGTGTGGGGGGGGAGGGGAATCCCTGGGTGGCTCAGTGGTTTAGTGCCTGCCTTCGCCCAGGGCGTGATTCCAGAGACCCAGGATTGAGTCCCACATCAGGTTCCCTGCATGGAGCCTGCTTCTCCCTCTGCCTGTGTCTCTGCCTTTCTCTCTCTCTCTCTGTCTCTGTGTGTGTGTGTGTCTCATGAATAAATAAATAAAATCTAAAAAAAAAAAGGGGGGGGTGGGAAACTACCTATCAAAATACTTGACCTATCCTATTAAGGATGGGAGGCAAGTAATGGGAGAGGAAACTGTTACATGCCTGCCACAAGCTGAAGTAGTTTATACGTTATACTCGCAATAACATTTACAAGGTAGACATTACCATACTCATTTGACAAAATAAAGAAACTGAGGTTCAAAGACAGGCTATTAACCAGCCAGAGTGACACAGCCACAGGCAGCAAACCTAGGTCAATGGTATCATCTTTGTATGTAAAAAAAAAAAAAAAAAAAAAAAAAAGAACATCTTTATTATCGCTTGAAGACAAAATATGTGAAAAGCAAGAATATTACATAAATATGCAAATAAAAATACAACAATAATATCCATTCATTTCCTTCAAATAGTTTTCTTGATCTTGGCTAATTCCTATCAGATCAAGAGGCCTTTTTTTTCTAAGTAGGCTTTTTCTTAAGTAGCAAACAAATAAGGTACATGATGTGCTAGGAACTGATACATTAACGTACTGTTTTTCTTTTAAAGTCTTTCGTGGTTTGCGAAACTTTGTTAGGCATTGTGAATAGAATTCTTCAGACACATTTACAAAAACCTAGTCCCTATGGATAAAAATCACAGCAATAAAGGACACTGGGTCATTCCACAAACATATGTGTCCACAAAAAAAAACCCACAACTTAATATCAAAGAACCTATCTAAGCTACAAAAGTGAGATCATAATGAGCTCAACGAAATGAAAAAAAAAAAAAAAAAAAGAAAGTTCCTCAATATAAGACAATGCACCTTAAAGTGAAACCACACACAGCCTTGAAAACTAACTACTTTCTCAGAATGGTAACAATGTACTGTGCATCTCTAAGAAACCAAACTGATCTAGGTTTAATGATTTTGCCTTTACAAAATGTAGCCAATTTAATCCTGCAGACTTGGACAGAACAAAAATTCAAATTCTCTACCACAGAAAGTCCCAGAGTATCAAATGCTTTAAAATACTGTTCAACTCTCCTTTATCAAAAATGTTCCTGCAGGAGGTGTTAATCAGTCACTACTAAGAACTCTGCACAATGCAACCTGTGTGTGCATGAGATTTTACTACAGGTAACAGACAGTTCAATTTACCAAGGACAACTAACCCTTCACTTTCAAAACTCTTGAAAACTAATCCCTGTAGCAATAAGTAATTAATTTACATTCCATTCCAAAGTGAACAACATAGTATAAATCTCAAGGAATCTGAGACCCTAAATTTGCTTGGGGAACCAGGTAGGTGTGTAGATGAGTAGGTGTGTATGTGTGTTTCCTCAGAGGTACTTCACAGAGTATAAATAGAAATAATTAGCAACTTTTAATCTCACGAACAAGATTCTTATTTAAAATTCTCTCGTATAAAATGAATTCTTTTTTTCATATTTCCTCAAGTGAACAGACACATTAAGACTATGGGATTCTTGCTCACTTTAAGAATAAAAATATATATAGAAGAAACAAGGTGTCCTTTTCTTAGCTCCGCCCCCCCCAAAAAAAAAAAAAAAAAACCACTAGAGACTGCACAGGTGTTTGGTCCTAAACAAAACTTTAGACTAGGTAGATAAGAAAATAGGAAACAAAACAGCCTAGCGAAGCAGCTAGCGATCACACGCAGCGGGTGACAGGAAGCCCCGTGGACACCTCACAGCCACAAGGATGAGCTTCGTCACAGGTCAACTGCAGGCCCCCGAGGCTCCACAGAACCTCCGCCCAGCAGGCCGTAGCGATGCTAGAAGGCAAAGAACTGTCACCACCGTCATGCTGGCAATAATGAAGCAGCAGCCTCTCTGACCCCAGGGAAGCCACCCCTCCTGGCCAGCAGACCGCAGAAGCCCCCTTCACACCAAGCGCACAAAGAAACACAAGCAGCCAGACCCAAAATAAAAAACGGAAATAAAAGGAGGAGCATGGGGAGAGAGACAGCAGCTAAACCAAATTTATCTTGGGAGCACTTCGAGTCCCAGTCTAGTTGACGACTCCGACCCAAAAGAAAGAATAAAATGTAAGGGGCGGGGGCCCACTCAAGAGATGACAATTCAGGAGATGCTGGGCACCCTTGGAGACTCCGTCTACCTGGGGCGTCAGACACTGACATCACAACACGAGAGAGGAGGCGGCCGCGGCGAGTGTGCGCGGGGCGCCCGCAGGAGAGGTGCGGGGCAGGGGTCACGGCGCCGCCGGCCTCTAGGTGGCCCCGCGCGAACCCGGCGGGAGCCTACACCTGCCCGCGGGGAACAACGCTGGGCCCCGGGGAGGAAGGTCCCGGTCCCGGTCCCGGTCCCGGTCCCGGTCCCCGCCCCCGCCCCCGCCCCCGCGCCCGCGCCTCGGCAAACCACCCGCGAGCCCAGCCCCGCGCCCCGGGGCGCGCCTCACCCAGCAGCGCCCGCAGGTGCTTCAGGCGCGTCAGCACGTCCTTCTTGGGGTCCAGCACCTTCTGCGTGGACTTCTTCACATCCCCGTGGCTCCTTCGGGAGAACATCCCGCCGCGGGAAACCCGGGCCCGCCGGCAAGACAGGAGGCGCCAGCGCCGCGCGAGTCACCGCATACGGGCTGGTTCGGCGCGCGGCGCGCGAGCCACTCGCCGCCCCCCCGCCGGGCCGCCGCCGCCGCCGCCGCCGCCGCCGCCGCTCGCGCCGCCGCTTCAGCGGTGGCTCCGCGAAGGAGGGGCGGGCCCGCCTCGGCGAAGGGCGGGGCAGGAAAGCGGTGTAGACGCGGAACCGGCGGCTCCGCCCCGCGGGAGGTGCCGGCCAGCCCTTCGGGCGCGGCGCACGCGCATGCGGGTTGGACCCGCCTCTCGGGGGCGCGCCCGGAGCGCCGCAGCGCCGCCGCGAATCGCAGGGAAGCTTGACCCATAAACACGCTGTACTACAAGTCCCAAGTTGCACTGCGACACAGCCCTCCAATCAGGCTGGCGCGTCTTAGGCACGATGAGAGTCAATAGGCTGGGTCTGAGCACGTTTTTCCTCCTCACCGGGCTGTGGGCCGCAAGGCCTCCAGGGAAATGTAGTTCTCCAGTCGGGGGCGGGTGCCGTGACAACTTTGGAGGGTCCCCCAAGCTGCTGGACAGCATCCATCCGCCTCCTTCCCCAAAAGGCCCTGAGGTCGCAAACCTTCACTCTTTGGTGTATATTACCAACCCAGTTACTTCTAGTGCAATGTGAACCACAAGAACATCTCAGTAAGAAAAGTTTCAAGGCTCCTAAAATGCAAACCATTTTTCGTTTTGACTTCTGAACTCACACCAGGGAGGAAATTGAATTCCCTTTGTCCATGCTAAAATCGGACCTCCACTAAAATTAATGGACCTTCACACTAAAATTAATGGCTTTGGCAGCAGGAAGGGCATCCCTAGACTCTGGGTAAGGAGTCCAGCCAATCCCCTTGGTCCCTGAGATCCAACTTCACTTGGGTTATGAGGTTCTCTTACTCAGAGGGCTCCTAAGGATCTTGTTTCTTTCTTTGTAGGAAGTGCACGTTCTCTGTATTGTACAAAGCCACATAGCAATCCAGTAGCAGAACCAGAAGTGGAACCTGAGGGACCTGACTCTCAAGTTGGTATGCTTTTTAAGGCTAGGTGCCTGTAACCTCGAGCAAAACTCTTGGGATGGAAGATGGCCTGGAGGTTTCTTACAATAGATCTATAGGATAATTTACTGGCATCTGGATCCTTCCATGCTCCAAATTTTGACAATATTTGAGAAAGTACTTATGCTGGCTTTTTAAAATCATGTGCTTTCCCTCCAATTGGAACAACACAACTTTTTCTCCTCCAAGGGAAACCTGTAACTTGGGGGTGAAAGCCAGAGATTTACATAGCTTTGTATTCTCATAACTGGCATAATATTTGGCCTCTAGAAGCACTCAGTAAAAGTTTGTTAAATAAAATGGAATAAAAGCTAAAATAGTCCTATTTATCTCATCCAGGCATGCAAAAACATATCTTCTAGTTGTTAGAGCCTCTCTATTTTTAGAGTTGTCAAAATAGCCCTGATAGCACTAGGACATATTCATGCAAAGAAATATTATTTAGCTATAAATAGGAATGGACTACTGATAAACCCAGTAACATGGATGAATCTCAGATCTAGATGAATCTAGCATAGGAAGCCCTACTCAAGATGATGCCAGCCTGGGTCCCCAGATGACCCCTTGAAAAGGGCCACAGACCCTCCAAGACTATTGCAAGAGAGAAATAACCTTTTCCTTTAAGGCATTTTGGGTGCTATCATAACAGTACTTAGCCTGTACCTGGTTATGCATAGTATGTCACAGTATTCACTGCCCTGTTCCCTTAGAAGAAGACACCTTTAATTGAAAAAAATAGGATGCACCTGCCTTAGGGAATTCAAATTGTCTATCATACAGCAACCTGTCATTATCATCAATGTCATTGTCATCAATTTACTGACCTAGGTGCAAGGCATGAATCTAAACCTTGGAGACAAAAAGATGTATAAGATGTAGTCTCCTGTCCTCCAAGGCTTTCAATCTAGTTGAGGGGCAGAACAGCTAAATAAATGAAGAGGTAAGGCACAACATAAAGTAAACATGTGACACTGTGAAAAGTTGGTAACACCAAAAACAGGCATTCATGCATTGAATGCATCTCATCCATTGTACCTAACCTTTGCTTACTGATGAAAATGTAGAACTCCAGGATTTCTCTAAAAAAGCAAGAAATATAAATCATTACTTTGATGCCTATAAACCCATGTTTAATATTCCACATGAAACAAAAATAAAAGAAAAATACTTGTCATTTTCTGTTGCTTTCAAAAAATCATTCCTACAGAACTGTGAACTCCTTGAGGACTTTACCATCTTTGTAATTAATTCTTTATTCCTAGAGGTTCAGAGTGCCAAGCATTTTTCAGACACTTACATGCTGTTGAATTAATGTCCCACTTTCACCAATAAATAAAGATAACGAATAAATGATAAATAAACATAATAAAGTTAAAAACTTCTGAACTTAAGAACTATGAGAAAATAAATTTCTGTTAGTTTAAGCCACCTAGTTTGTGGTAGTTTGTGGCAGCAGTGGTAGAAAATGAATACCACCAGATGCTGGAGAGAACCCACTGTGACTGTCTAGCAAGATCAGAATGAATGAAATTAATTATAACACTTTGAATAAATAAAATTCAGGAATCCATAATGATATTCAAGAGAATGCTTTTCCATATCCTAGGTGAGTGTTTCAGGTAGAAGAAGACATTGCTTACACCTTTCATGATTTGGGGCAGACTTTTTTTTTTTTAAGATTTATTTATTTATAATAGACAGAGAGAGAGAGAGAGAGAGAGAGAGAGAGAGAGAGAGAGGCAGAGATGCAGGCAGAGGAAGAAGCAGGCTCCATGCTGGGAGCCCGACGTGGGACTCGATCCCGAGTCTCCAGGATCGCGCCCTGGGCCAAAGGCAGGCGCCAAACCGCTGAGCCACCCCCTGGGGCACACTTATTTTTTTAAAAAGAGTTTATTTATTTGAAAGAGAGAGAGAGTGAGAGGGCGCACGCAGGAGCAGGTGGAGGGGAGGGGCAGGGGACTGGGAAGGGCAGAAGGAGACGGAGAAGAAGACTCCCTGCTGAGCCTGCGGGCTCCAAACAAGGACACCGGGATCAGGACCGGAGCTGAAGACACACACTTAACTGACTGAGCCAGCCAGGAGCCCCCAGGCGGACTTTTTGTAAAAAAAGAAAAGAATGTAAGAGCCCTCAGGTGGCTAAGACCCTTTCTCAGTAACAAATGCGGAACCTGATCTGAACTGGGCATGTGTTTCGAGAATCTAACAGGGAAGAGTGAAGGGCTGTAGAGCTTTGTAATTTCCTCCGTACATCACTTACCAGAAAAGCATCATGTTTTCCTGATAACAGTAAATTGAATTCAGGTGTTCGGGAAGACAGAGCCCAAGTAAACATGACAGAGTGATGGAAACGAGAGACCAAGAGCTCCCAAAGAATAAAGAGAAACACTTGCCAATTCCTGATATTGTCTGTAATAGAATTTTAGATTTTTAATTTTGTTTTTGTATACTATTTACATAAATTAAAACTAACACATATTTACTGAACAATAGATATAGCTAAATTGTGATGACTAGTTTTGCACTTCCCATTCTTTTCTATTTTGCTGAAAATTGATCTTTCAAGGACCATGTGAAAACTGCAATTCCTACCATCACTGATGTTAAATACTTATCAAACAATTCTATGATTCATCATTGTTGGACCTATGCCCAGCATAGGGCTGGTGTCAACATTCAGTCAATATTTGTTAAATAAATAAACTCATTCATTCATTTCTTCATTAATTCCTCAGGATTATTAGGAAATGTTGTTTAGTGCAATGTTTTCAATTTAACTGATGTGTTATATATCCAAATTTTAGAAGTCTACCCTTCTTTCCTCAGAAATATTTCTAAAATATAAATAGACTTCTCTGTCTTCTTTAAACAGCTTATTCATGGTTTATGAAAACATATTTGTCCCCCCCACACACATACACACACACTGTGATCCCCTTCATTGCCTCCTAAATTGGTGTTGCTACAGACACAAAGGAAATGCCTATTAGATCTTCTCCCAATTCTGACCACAATTTTCCCCCAAATTCAGTCATTGCTATCAGAAACAATTTGTTTGCCTTTTTAACTTCCATAGATGGAATCATTCTATATGCTTAGACTTGCCAGCTCTTAGTTTCCAGATAACCTAAATGTTAATATATTTTACTTTCTCGTTTTCACTTATCAGAGTTTTTCAATTTGGAAGGATTTGGGTTTGGTTTTTTTCAGATTGACTAAAATATCTTGTGCCTGCACATTAATCCCAGTTGTCATGAATGTTATATTAATTTTAGTATATGGAAAAATTCAACTTTTAGCTGCAGATTTTCCTATCAGATAAGCTCATTGTGCCTGTACTCAGGAGTAAGATCTTTTAGTATGTCAGACATACTGAGGAACTTCATTTAGATACTGTTGCCACAGAGAGCCAACCCCTTGTGACCACCCCCACCCCCCCACCCCCCCACCCCACCCCCGCCATGACAGTCTATTTTGATCATTGGAGTTTTGCATTCTTATCTTCTTTTTTTTTTTTTAATTTTTTTTTTGTTTTATTTATTTATGATAGGCACACAGTGAGAGAGAGAGAGGCAGAGACACAGGCAGAGGGAGAAGCAGGCTCCATACACCGGGAGCCCGACGTGGGATTCGATCCCGGGTCTCCAGGATCGCGCCCTGGGCCAAAGGCAGGCGCCAAACCGCTGCGCCACCCAGGGATCCCTGCATTCTTATCTTCTTAAAAAAAAAAACTACAATCTAATAAATTCAAATTTTCCTTATATTGGCTTTTACCCTGAAATATTGACTTATTCATTCAATGTGCATGTTGTGACCCTGAAAACCTACACCTATCTGAAATTCCTAAGAAATAAGGGGTGGCCCTTCATAAGAAAGGAAAGCCAAACTCAACGCTTAAGATACAAGAAACCCAATGTCCTCGTTTTCCAGATGATATATTACTGTAGAAACCGAAAAATATATTTTTTCTTCTCCAGAAATATCTCTTAATAGTTTCTTT